CGGGCGCTGGAGGGGCAGAAACCGGTGGGGAGGTCGCGTACCTGCCGGCGGGGACAGAGGGGTCCCGGGGAGCACCGCCTTCCCCGAAGGGGTGAGGAAGGGGGGCGGGATGGAGGCTTGCAGCTCTCACCCCTCTGCGTGAGGGTAGCTGGGCAGCGAAGCCGGGACACTTCATACCTGTGTGTGTGTCCCCAAGCCCTCGGAGTGTGAATTTTGACTCTTACAGGGTCTGTTAGCAAGATAATAACGTCTCTGATGTTATCCTAGGGGATCTCAGCTTCCTGAATGTGCGTCAGGAAGATCTCAATTAGCCTCTTTGACAGTTGAATATATTTGACCTTGTTTTACCATCACCTATAAGCTCCTTTATTACCGACACTACCAATAAAATCTTTCTTAATTATCCTTCTCCTGGGAGCCATAAAAAACTGAGCCAACTGAGAGGGTTTTACTTAGACTTGGCTAGGTTTATAAAGATGTTGCAGAAAATAACAATGAAGCCAGTGTTCAGGAGTTCATTTTTTTTTTTTAATGAAGGGAAAATCCAGGAATACCTCATTTTTCTGTTTTCAAAAAGTTTAATGGAGCAGGCCTGTGAAGTCATTGGAGGAAAAAATTCAAGGTAGTAGATACTGAGGATATTTGGAGTTTAAATATGAAATTTCTAGAATTTGTAACTGCAACAGGTGGGGGGCGTGGCAAATGTTGATGTAGCAAAGAGGTTCTTAAGGAATAAAAAGAAAAACTGATAGAATTGGAAAATGGCCTGGATTGGCAAAGAAAGGTTTGTCTTGCAGGCAGAAAGTGACAGAGTATATTAGCCATTGCTAAAAAACCCTGAAGGTTAAGATAGTGTTAAAAACAGTATCTTTCTTATATAAGCAAAAGAAGGTCAGGGGAAGAAGTGGAGGTGGTGTGCACTTAGCATGTGTAGGTGAAACTGTGTAACCGTAAACAGCTTTGCTTTAGCTTACAACAATAAAGAGGAAGGAGATTTAATTCTAGGCAAGGACAAATGAAAAATAAAAAAGTCATCCAGACAATATAATTGCATTAGTTTGGCATCAGTGGTCTGCCAGGCTGCAGAATGAGCCTTGGGGAAGGGGGAAGGAAGAAAATTAGGAAGATAAACTGTTTACCAGAATGTTACTGGATAGGGTGTACCGGGATTTTTGAGGAAAAGCTGGAGAGTTGATTTCTTTGAGTTGTCTCTAGTTGTTCTGAACTTCAATGAAGCAATTGAAGTAATGCTGCTTGGGAAATAAATGCTTGGTGGGAGAAGATGGACACTGGTCGAAAGTTGAAAACAGGTTGGGCTAAACATCTGAGTGAGGTAGGAGAGGCTGTCAGTTTGTATACTTCTTGAAGAATCAGTCACTCTTATGGTTGAGTCTGTTGATTCTCACAGAGTATTTCTTTCAAAATGCAGTGACTCGGCAGTCCATTAAAACGTGCCATTAAAATGTGCCTGTGACACCACAACTGCAGTCACTGGTCCCTGCCTTATAACACTATTCAGCAGTTGATATCAAAGCATTTAATATATGGTAGTTATTACTATCATTATCTGTAGGGGAAAATAGAAGCATAGAGAGTAGCAGGTGAGAGGCAGTGTTAGAAGTAAAGCACAACAATTAGACTCAATGGGCTACTGGATCTCAAGTGTGATATTGTGGTGTAAAGGATTGTGATACTTCCTAGGGCTCAGGTAAGTATCAAAATATGAAGGTGAGCAGTGTTAAGTAACTCTTCTCCAGAAAAGAAGAATAGGTAGCATAGCAGTTTTTCTAAGTTTAGTTATTTCTAAAGGGAATGTATCAAAACTATTCTTTTGGGGATTTATGAAGGCATCCATAAACCAGCATCTTCCTAGGAGAATAGTAAATGAAAAATATGTAAACTTTCCGGAACTGGCAATGTAATATCTTACGGACTATTTTATCTTCCTGCCCTCCTCCCTGACCCCCACCTCAGTGTGGTCCGTTTATGCTTCTTCAGAGAGATTTGGAGTTACAGAAGGAGTAATTTTCTAGCTGACTTTCTTGTCTGACCGTTTGCATTTCAAAATTTTTGTCACTGTTGCTATCTGAAGGAGAATACAGAAACAGAATCTCAGGAGTGCTTTTGTTTGAAACAAATACATGATTTGTATCGCTGTTAGGACAGCTTGTAGTAATTAAAATTTGGCTGTGTTTCATAATATAGTGACACTGCAATGTCAGGCTCTTTGGTACAGTGCAACAGCAGCTCAGCAGATGGGTATTAAAATATGTTCTTGCGCGCACACACACACAGAGTTGTTGCAGGATACAAATTTATAATCTTCATTGAGGCTCTGCATTTGTTAGGAGGTGAAGATGGTGACTTGGAACCAGCAGTTATACAGCTTTTAACATTAAGCAATTTATCTTTTCTCTTCCAAAACAACAACAATCAAAAAAGCATTTTGATATGCTTGCATTGATGTTAAAATGCTACGGTGGGCACAATGTACTGCAGCAGGCAGTGCTGGTAGATAGTAGTGTTAGTTGCACTGATTGTAGGATCTTGCAACATCTTTATTTGCTCCAAAGGATCTTCAAGCACAAATGATGCAAGTAGCATTATATAAAGGCATGGTAATGAAAGCAATATTGTTTTATTATGTGTGGTGAAACACCTGCCCTTTATCATTTGGAATAAGGAAGGCAGAGGAAACAATGTTATTCTCAATTCATGTTTAGTTATTGAAAACGGTAAAAACGCTAGAGGTTTGCCTTTGCAGTCCCTGTGTTTGCAGATTTAGGACCTCAAATAGAAAAGAATTCTGAAGCAAAGCTAAATTGTTAGAAAGGTGGGTCAAGAAAGGATTACTACAGCAAGAGAAATTAAGAATTTTTGGAAGAAGTGGGTTTTACTGAATGTCTCATGAATAGCCAGGAAGCTCTAATTTGCAGAAGTTATTATTAGTAGTGAGTCATATAGAAGCTGTGAGGTCATCACTGAAAACAGATGGTGAAATTTGAGGGGCAAATGAAAGAGCAGAGAAAATAGCTTTGTAGTTATTGATGGGATTGAACTCAAACTACGGGTGGAGATTATGCTTCAGTATATACAAAACACATGAAACTTGTATCTTGAAACACAGACATTTTTCCTGTCAAGTACTGTGGTGGTATAAAGACAGGTACTGAAGAAGAGTGCCATAGCTAGGGGAACTCTTAGGTGAAACACTGGTGTAATTGTCCTTGCAAAACGCACTTGAACTTTTAAATGAATTTGTATAAGCACCAGCATTTCTTTTTTCCCTGTGTTCTCTGTCCAGTGAATTAATTCAAGGTTGATTTAGAGGAAGGCTGACTATGTCACATCTATGTTATCTGGAGTTTCTTTATCAAGTCTGCTGCCCACAGCTTAGTAACTAATGATTCCACTTGATTTGTGTTTTGCTGCAAGCTGATCGCTATAAGGCCATATAATTAAATGAGGATTTTAGTAAGAATAATACATTGACAAATCAACCTTTTTCTGTTCCAAGTGTTTCCTGTGAACATCCATGGAAGATTAAAAGGATTTGAAAGGTACATTTTGGAAAAATCTGTGTAGTTTCTGTTACACAGAGCAATGCTGAAATTTCAAGAAACTGCAAAGCATGTCACTGTTGCCAGATTTAATTCTGCTTGCTCAGATACTATGATTGCAAGAAGATACACTATTCAGAGGAAACTTGGCAAGGGAAGCTTTGGAAGTGTATATCTGGTTTCTGACAGAAAAGCGAAACGAGGAGAAGAATTGTAAGTAAACCCTTCGCATATTTTAAATAAAAATGTTTGGAACGTGTTTCTTGCATTGTAGATGTTTTCTTTGTATTTGTGTTTCATCTTTCAGTTTGGTGTTAAATTGCAGCCTTAACTGTTTAACTTATTGAGGACATAAGACAGGGCCAGAATTTATGCTGACTCAGCATTCCAACTGAATCTCCTTTTGTTTAAAATAGTTTATCAGATATGTCTCTCTTATTGTGCTTTTCTCTAAGTCCTTTTTAATTTACTTGTGCAAGGCAGAGTGGAGGTAGATAGAAAATCCCAGACCCTCATCTCCCAAGTGAGGTACACCTCTGAAGGTTTCTAACAAATGATAGAAACAGTAAAAATAAATGTAACTTACCTATTCCCCAGTGTCATACCTCAGACAAGTTGCTAATGTAAGATATACGCTGTGGAAAAGACCCTTGTATTTACTCAGAACTGAGGTAGATTTTATCATTGTCTGGACAAGAAGCAGGGCAAAGGTATATGCCAGGTTTCACTAATTTTTCTCTTCTTTGTAAAAAAAATTGTTTGTTAAAGGTTTAAAGCTTCAGAATTTATAAGCTATAATTTCATAATTATGTCAATATATATTATATGTGTGTATAATGTAATTGTATAGTTTATTTTTGAAGTCTTTCTATTCCATAAACTTGGTTCTTGAAGCTCTTTCTTCAGAACACTTACTGAAGTCCTGCGCATTTGCATTCCATCCTATGCTTATCCATCTTAATGACCGTGACATTTTTGTTTCAAAAAATGTGGAAGAAGAGAATCCTTAGTCTAATCAGGTCCAGCTACTGCAATATCTAGCTGTGTAATGCTTCATTCAGTTACACATGCTCATTAAGGCATGGAACCTTTAAAGGGAGCATGACAATATCAGAATTTCTGAACGTATTTTAGTGGACTTTCCTCTTCATTTTTGATGATTTCTTATTTAATTACTGTAGGTAAATTTTTTTATAACAATTAATTGGGTGCTTTCAGGAATTGATTCTGTGTCATTGTAAGGACTTATTGTTGGAGGGGTCTCAAAAGAAACTGTACTGTATTGATGCCCTATTTTTTTGTAATTGAGTTGTCTAAATGAAACCTGAAAAGGAATAGTTATAGAAATTCCAGTAAAGACATTTCCATTTGCTGTATTCCTAACTGATAGCACTCGTTTGACAAGTTGTTGGCAATTTAATGCCAGCAAACCGTAACTTTTTTTTTAGCTGCCTGAATTTGGACAGGTCTCATCAGTTTGGTTGATTAAACCCTTTAAGATTCTGAAGCCTCAAAGATGAAAGGACATTTTCAGAGTGTTGACATTTCTGTATGTGACTTTGAAGTTGGGTACCTGGGTAATACATTCCTGGCTGGACTTCCTGTTTTGTAGAACTGTGTTTGTCTATTGGTTTGATACTTACACCAAGTGAAATTTAAATGTGAATGTTTCTGTTTTCATCCAATAAAATTTGTGACGCTTTTTGTTTAAAGTCTGAAACATCTAACCAATGTGCTTTTCAGCCAGAAATACATTCTTCCTTTAAATATGGGGGTCTATTGGTCCTTATTGATGGACACATTAATGAGCAATTATGTGATAAAAGAGCTTTTTCTGATTCATTTGTGCCTCACTTTTGCTATTTGTGACAGTGCATTCTTGGCAATATTGCTTTAATAAAAGTGCAGCCAAGATGGAATTCTTTCACTTGTTTTCCTTCTACATCAATTTACAGCTTCTCAGCTCCTTGGATTAGGGTTAGAGGCCACTAAGCTCTTAGCTTTTTCCAGCTGGCTTATAAGACTTTTGGATGTCTCTTAGCCTTCATTATGGTTTGCTACAAAAATGTTCTGTAATGAAAACTTTCATTAAAAACAATAGAAAATATTTTTCATTTTCTCTTTCTGTTAAAATAATTTATCATGCTAATAGGGTGACAGGAACTACCTGAGCTTGTAAGATCCTTCAGAATTAAGCTCTTATTGAACTCACTCTCAGAATAATAACAGTATAGTGAAACGTGTGTCTTCACGCATTTGCTGCTGTAGCACAAGCGGACAAACCTCAAACTGAAGAAATGTGTGCTTTGCTTTTAAGTAGTGCTTTTCTTTAGAATTTTTCTTTGAGAACTTTAATTCTGAGTGACTGTGTTTTGAACATTCACTGCCTGCAGCATTTCATGCCTGTCTTTTGTTAGGGATGAGTCTGATTGTGTCCTCTGCCATCCTCAGGACAGAAGCAAAGTATCAAATGGCATATTCTTGTTTTTTTGTTCATTTAGTATTTAACGAGCCTAAGTGCTAGCTTAATACTGTAGTTCATCCTTTCATCACTAGGGGGTACTTGCGTATCACAGTTGTTTTTCATTCCTTCTAAGCCTCCAATGTAGATTGAAGAGCAGATTCCCAACTTTCTATCACTTATTTGCTAATAGATGACAATATTGGTCCAGGTGAACGTGAAAGCTCAGGTAGAATAATGAGCTAGAGTGTAGATACTTTCTTCTACTTAAAAATACTGATTTCTTAAGGTGGTAAAATATACTAGAAGTCACATTCTCAAAACTACTTTCAAATCAGAAAATAAGCTCTTACGGAACTGTACTGGTTGCTGCTTCTGTTATATTTTCCATTGGGAAGTGTGTGTGTATATATATATATAGTTTAGAATGAAAAATTAGTTGGTTATGTTTCTTGCCCTTTAAAAAAATAATAAGCACTTTGGCAGGAAAAAAAAAAAGGAATTGAGATATTAAGGTTCCAAATGACATCAGCAGAATTGTAAGTCTATTTTTATTGTTTCAGAGATGATCTAGAACATGCTGAGACAAATGTTATAAACAGCATGAATTCAGTCACAGATAGTTTCCTGAAAATTGCTACAGTCTAAAGCACTGTGAAGGAGCATAGGAATAAATCATAAGAATACACATTTCCAAGAAGAATGACGTACTGGATATTGGTACAGAAGCTGTTCAGGGATATATTTTCAATTTTCCTTGAGTGCAATGTTTACAGAATGAGTTAATGCAGAGACTAACAATGGTTATTGTGTAATTTCATGTATGCTCAGCAAAGCTTTTGCATGATTTTAGAAATAGTTTTTAGGGTATCTTTGTACTTTGTTACCCCTAAAGGATCTTAGCTGTGGAGAGTGAAGTATTATACACACAGTGGCTTCAGCTGGGAAGGAGAGAGGGTTGATAATTTGGGGCATGCCTCAAGTTAGCAGACCCATTTCACATAAAATTCTCCACACAGAGCTGCTTAGACCAGTGATACCTGCCTCTTGTAGAAGTATACATGCCAGCTTTATGCTGATCTCCAATTCTGTGTATGGGTTGGATCAGGATTACTGATCTTCTGAGGATGTACTAGATCAGTGACATCCACTGTGATACAGCTGAGTTGCCTATTATATAAATAATAAGGTTATGACATACTACTAGTACAGTAGCATATGTAGGTCTCTTATAATAAGTTCCTCTTCGTTGTTGTGTTGCATGATGCATTCCTTGCCTGTTGCTTTAACATTCTGATTTGTATTTTTTGTAAATTGTATTTTCTGGTAACTTTTTATGTTCATAGTCCTGTGGGATTTCTATAATTTTGCCTTCTTTTTCATTAGGTGACTCTGAAAACCTTATTCTTTTCAATTTTTGCCTTCTACCCTGTCTCAACTAGAAAATTATATAAGCTGTAAACAGTTATCAGCTCCATATGTAGCTAAACAGCTTAATGTCTAGGCCAGGAAAAACCCTAGTCATACCATCTATCTTCTTGTGTTCTCCATTTTCCTTTAGAAAATAATAGTTGCAAGTTGTCCTATATTCTTAAATATGCATTCATAGGTTCTGTTGACATTTAAGTTTCCTGAACAATAGCTTCTCTGCTTGTATTGCTTGTGTTTTATGTTTTTCCAAGGTATATTATCCACAATGGAGAGGGAGAAAACCAAACCAGTGATTAGGATTCTGGAATGATGTGGTGTCACCATGGGGTTATTTCAGACTGGCTGTTAGACTTAAGGATCACACTTACCTCATTCTGAGATATCTGCTTTGTGCAGACATGTGATAAATAACTTTCAAATTTCGTAATAATTTCCTAAAAAGAAAAATGCAAGTTCTTGATTTTAGATTTATGGCTAGGGAAGGTGACTTTTTTTCTTCCGTGTTTGTGTAGAAAGTTATGCCATCTGCTCTACATCTTCTACAAGAGCTTTTGATCCTGTGGGATGATTCTCACTAAGTATGACAGAGGGTTAAACATCAAAGATAGAAGTTCCTGCAACTTGTGTGAAAACAGACAGCAGAGTAGAGAACAAAATGAATGCCCTCATAAAGAGAAAAACCAGAACTTGGGAGACTCTTCACTACAAAAGAAATTTCTCATGTACTGGACAATCCACACAGGAGAGAGCCCATCAATTTCCCTCAGTTTTGGAAGAAACTGGTGAGAATTTATATCATCTTAGACCCTAAAATTGGTTAACACAAGAGACATGTTTGTATGAAAGCAAGCTGCTTAGTTCCAGTTTGCACAGAATGGCTTGGTTTGTGTAGTATTTGATATTTGCCCTGTTAGGTATTTGCAAATCTTCTGGTTTTGAGCCAGATACTGTACATTCACTAGAATTGAAATTGAATTGCTTAATGTTGACACTGTCTTTCCATTCTAGTGGTCTCTAAAATGAGCTTTGGCAAATCTTTATTTCAAATTACAAACTAATTTATGTAATAGGTAACTAGAGTCCAAATAAGGATTGAATGCTCCTGCAAATATTTGCTGTGTTTGTTAACCTTTTGCAGGGTTTGAACTGAATTTAGACATGCTAGGTGGGGATGCACATCAGTAGTTGCCCGTTAGTGGAGTCTCACAAATTTTTAGAGCGTTTGGCTCTTTTAGGAAGAAAAAATGGTAGCTTTAATTTGGGTAAAAATTACTACTTATGTATTTTTATTCAATTTCCTCTTTTTCTTTTGCACCATTAC